CTAGGAGGAGGGGACAGCCACTTGTGATTTGCTATGGGCCACTTGCCCATACAGAGGGTATTGTTAAGCCTGCCATAGTCTAGCTCAGGGGTGGGCAACTTCTGGCTGTGGTGAAACTACAAATCCCATGAGGCATCGCAGGACTCTGCCAGCCACAGGCATGACATGATGTGTAGATTCACCACAGCCGGAGGGCCGAGGTTGCTTACCCCTGGTCTAGCTAAAGGTGCCCACACACAATTATCGCAAGACTTTAGCTTACGACCATCGCAAGACAAATTAAAAGCTCACCAGGCAGATCGTACTTGCGATCATCGAAAGCCCGCCCTGCTGAGGGGCGAACTTCCGATGACAGCAATGCTGAACCGGCATTGTGCGCGTGCGCACACACTGGCCCGTTCCGCAGCTATCGGACAAGCAGCCTAGAAACCCGCCGACCATCGTACGATTCTCGGCGGGTTTTCGAACATGCTGGTTCAACAAAAGACGTGCGACCGTACAGTAGAAACAGTCGCATGCCTTCCATACACCTTGCGATTATCGTACGATCGCGGGATTTCCTGCAATAATTGTACGATAATTGCAAAGTGTATGGGCACCTTTAATGATAAGTTCGAACTGAGAAGTTTTTGGGCCTAGGTAGGGATAGAAGAGCCCTCTCCCTTTCCCTCTGCGGAAGTGTCCCTGTCACCAAAACAAGGTGTAGAGATCTCGCCTCATGGGGCAATGCTCATTTCTCCGGGTTTGGGTTATTGAAGGACGCGAAGTATTACGTCAGCCAGAAACTACCTTTTATCGGCCGAGGATTTTATTTAACAGCTTCTGTTAAGGGACTCTTATTGTGAAAAGCAAACTGTAGGAAAGCCTACCCCGTGTGTCAGGAGTGCAACTGGAGGAGGGAGACCATGTAAAAGTTGTAGTCATTGTATGTGTGTTTGTGCTAAAGATCCAATTTAACACTAAAGGGAAACGGGGAAGCCTAACATATTCATTACCCCTCCAATGGACTTTATTATCCAATCAATGAAATGATACACATCAGAGTTCCATTTTCTAATCTTCAGGGCGATTTTCTTTCAAATTAATCTGTGATTCATGTTCGGAAGGTCGTGTAGCTTTAAATGGGTCAGTACACAATCCCTGCTCACCTTCCACATGGCCTGGAGCACTGGCTCACTTCAGGGCTGCTGTAAAACGGTAGAGACGTTTCACCAAAGTAGATTAGATCTGTCACTCGGGTAGAAACGGGAGACGGCTGGTACAGTAAGTAGCCAATGACTCGCTGTATTAAGATAAGTCATATATATATATAGATCATTTTTCTTTTTCTACCCTGTGCTTTACTGCTCCCCATAGGTCGGAGCAGAAAGGTGACCTCTGTGCGGCGATTGGTCGGAGCAGAAAGGTGACCTCTGTGTGGCGATTGGTCGGAGCAGAAAGGTGACCTCTGTGCGGCGATTGGTCGGAGCAGAAAGGTGACCTCTGTGCGGCGATTGGTCGGAGCAGAGAGAGGAACTAATGAAGATGATCGCTGACCTCCAGGCAAACAGAAGGAATACACAGGAGCTCTTTGCAGAAAGGTGGCCTCTTTGTCGCGATTGGTCGGAGCAGAACGGTGACCTCTGTGTGGCGATTGGTCGGAGCAGAAAGGTGACCTCTGTGCGGCGATTGGTCGGAGCAGAAAGGTGACCTCTGTGCGGCGATTGGTCGGAGCAGAAAGGTGACCTCTGTGCGGCGATTGGCAGCACTGTGTATAAAATAAAAAGGGTTTATATATTACAAATAGAGATACGAAGTAATGAAGATGATCGCTGACCTCCAGGCAAACAGAAGGAATACACAGGAGCTCTTTTACCTGCCAAAGCATTTGTATTTTCGGTCCATCCAGTCCTGAGGTTTTCACAGCCCTGCCACACAGCACATCCCTGGTTTTTCTGTGCAGGTATCACTTAGAGGTCTTGTCCCTCCCCCAACCTGTGATTGGACAGTGGCAAGAGAAGTAGCAGACTGATGAGCTCATCTATATCACACTGCTCTCTGCTCCTATCGGCACATTCTTCCTTAGCAAATCTGATTGGCTCTTTGTGCTGTTAATCCTTCCCCCAGTCTAAGCTCTACTGTACAGGGACTGCAAGAGGCTGATGCCAGGTCACATTCAGGTACTCACACTGCTTGTATTTAAATAAATAGAATGTTATATTAATGATCACAGAGCTGCATTTATTGTCTTTTATGCCTTGAGTTCAGGTGTAAGGTATCCCCGTCCCCGTCACATGATCGGGGCTTCAAAGCAAACCAGCTCAGTGTGCCACTCTGCCGTTATTTGTTACCTTGCTGATGACAGAGGTTCGGCATTGAACGGTGTTGCAGCTTTTCCTGCGATGGAATCACACAACTGCAGCCAAAAATAAAGTGCCTTCGACAGATACACTGAACCCACCGAGAATGAGACCACCGTCACCGCCTCAGACCCGGGGACACCAAGTCCGGATGTCGTGTCACCGCTTCCCATCCGCGGCAGTGATCCAGCTACACGTCGTCATAGCGACTCTCATCCACGTGCCTTTGCCTTGTCCCGTCATGTGATTCATTGCGGATCCTTATACGGTTGTGTCACAGGAGCGATCTTTCCAATCAATTCTCTTTTCAGGGACTCAAATGTTTGTTTTTGTTAAATCTCTTTTTTTGGTTCAGCCCATAAAACTGCAATTGTGCGTTTTGGAATTGTGGAGGCGTTTCTGACGCCGGGGTTGCCATTTGTCACTTGTTCAGTTTGGATCTTGAGCCTTAATTTGGAAATATCTTGAACCAAACATTAAAGAAAAAAAATCTCGTTACCCTCGGAGTGTCCTGTGTTCACTATGTAGAGGTGTGCCGAGTGCGGTAATGTATAGCGAGTGGCTGTTATTGTAGTCACTCCAGCTAAAGAAGGCTTGTGATTGGTTATTTATAGGTCACATGTATCCGTAGTGCACTGCTTTGTTTTGAGTGTGTCTAAAGCCAAAGACTTTTCTAATTAAGCTGCCCATCCAAATTGTGGCTGTATTGTTGAATTGACCAAAATCCGATCTGTGGCTGGCCCTGTCCAGCTCCACAAAAGTCTATTCCTCACCTCCCCCCCCCAAGAGCAGATGCAGTGCATTCCGGCCACCTCACGATGTTGTGGGGCAGGAGGGGGCGTGGCAGTCCATTGAAGTGAATGGCACCGTAGCCACACCCTCTGGTCACATGGGAACGCAAGGCACATTATGCCTGCGGTCCAGTCTGAACAAAATGGCGCAATGACTATTTTGTTTGGACCGGACCGCAGGCAATAATGTACCTTGCATTCCCATGCGGCCGAGGGCATGGCTACGGCGCCATTCACTTCAATGGACTGCCACGACCCCTCATGCACCACAACATAGTGAGCCGCCCACAATGCGATGCAGTGCGTCCTGGCCAGAACGCACTCGTGGTGTGAACGAGCCCTAAAAGTAACATCAGCATGCAGCTCTGCCCTCCAGCTGTGTCTAAACTACAAATGAGATCATTCCTCTGGGAGTCATGTCGGTAACTGTCAGTCTTGCAATGCCTCGTGAGACTTGTAGTTCCACAAGAGCTGGAGGGCCGGAGTTGCCCATCTCTGATCTAATGTATTTTCTATATATTATTACCTGTAAACACCTCCCTTGCATAGGCACCTATAAGCACGGAGACTGCTGTGGGGTGCTGTTGGATGTGATGCCAGCACATGGGGGGGGTTACCTTGGGAGGTCTGCATGCAGTCCCCACTGACATCCATCCACCAAAGCATTTTGGTATTTGCATAACTCCTCCCAAGAGTCAGCCCACTGCTTACATCAGGGTGGCTGGCTCTTGAGAGAGTACTGAGACAGGGTGCTGTGATGGCTGCAGGGGGGGAGGAACCAGAGGAGCAAAATAGAAGCCGATTAAAGGCCCAGTTCACATTTCATACCATGTTTAGGGTGTAACATGAAACATACTCACATGCCCAGCCCCTCACTCACCTGAATTGCAGAGTCCCTTATTCTTTTGACTTTTGCTGGAGGTCCGCACAGATCCTGTGACTGGAGAGACTACAAGACTCATCTGCCACTGTGGCTCAATAGATTACATCATGGCACTTGTAGTCCATTCCTCCCATCCCTGTAACTGAAAGTCCATAGCGCCCAGACACATACAGGAGGAAGAGTCTGCAGGAGGCAGAGCTTTGCACCCACAATCCACTGATTATAGTTACAAGGCTTTACTGGCTCCAATGCAAAAAAACCCCCAAGAAATGCACATTTTGTCTTTTAGGAATGTGTATAAACGGTGGACTACGCCTTTAAACCTCAGATCCACATTTCCACACAAAGCAAAAAAATCAGTCTTGCAGTGGGAGTGGCTGCTCTGTAAGATGAGAGACCTTAGCTCAGGGGTGGGCAACCTTGGCACGCCAGCTGTCTTGGAACTACAAGTCCCATGAGGCATTGCAAGACTGATAGCCACATGCATGGCTCCCAGGGGCATTTGTAGTTACACTGCAGCTGGAGTACTGAGGTTGCTTAGCCCTTCCTTAAGCTGGCCATACACCTATAGATTATCTGCAGATTCCTCCCTCTACGCTAAACTGTGTGGATGGAGGAATCTCCCACTGGGCCAAGCTTCAGTATCTTGCTAGTCAGCCCCACTGGCTCTCAAAATACCTGAACAATCTGATTGGATGCAGGCATTGGGTCGGGACCGACTAGCAAGATACTGAAGCTTGGCCCAGCAGGAGATTCCCCCATCCGCACAGTTTAGCGTAGAGGGAGGAATCTGTTGATCATCTCTAGGTGTATGGCCAGCTTTAGTCATTACACACGGGAGAGAGTCACGGTCCATGTGAAGGTGATCACAAAAGGGCAGGCAGGATGCAGCGGTGGTGTACAGGGGAGAAGAGACATACAATCCATATACAAATCCTCTGACAGGAAAACGTTTCCTATATATTATCTGGAGGAGACAGCGCGGTGCTCTCAGCAAAAAACAAATATCAGTCATAGACTTGCAGATCAATGAATAATAAATATTTCAGGAGCCGTGCCTGGACAAGGTGAACACAACATGACATCGTATGGATGGAGACAAATGACGCCGAACAAATTCAAAGCCGAATACATCCCAGAAATCCGGCCGGATATTTACACGTACCCC